TGAGAGAGCTGAATCTCTTCAGCCTTCACAAGAGACGGCTGAGGGGAGATTTTTTGGCCGCCTATAAATTTATTAGGGGAGGTCAACGGGGAATAGGGGAAGCACTGTTTACTAAGGTGCCCCAGGGAGTGACTAGAAATAATGGGTGTAAACTAGTTGAGAGTGGATTTAGGTTAGATATTAGGAAGAAATTTTTCACAGTAAGGGTGGCCAGGATCTGGAATGGGCTTCAAAGAGAGGTGGTGATATCAGCTAGCTTGGAGGTCTTCAAGAGGAGGCTAGATAGTCACCTGGCTGGGGTCATCTGACCTAGGTCCTCTTTCCTGCCAGAGGCAGGGGGTCAGACACGATGATCCACTCTACAATCTATAAATCTATGAATCTATAAGAATGGCTGGCCATTCGTCTCCCCAGTGCTCTGGGTGACCTCGCTTGCCTTGGGAACATGCCCCACTTTCCCTCTGCCTTTCCCCCACTGGTCCAGGGTGGCCTGCCTCTGCTTCTGAGGGATGGAGGCTTCGGAGCAAGAGGGGGACTTCCCTTTGGGCATGATCCCATTGGTGCCAGGCTGAGGAGGAGCAAGGGCAAGGGGGTGGTGCCTCCTGATATGCATCAGCATCCCTGTGATGCTGAAGTGTTTCTCATCCTTGCCCTGGCTGGTCTTGCATTGGCAGTGCAGGCAGATAGCATACTTGGGATCATCTGCCATGCCAAAATGATCCCACACTACACTACTCCCTTGCTTCTGGGGTGTGGGTGCCTTATCTCCCTCCTCAGCAGGCAGAGGCACAACAACAGGGGAAGCTGATCCACCTACCCCCACAGCCTCCTTTGCAGCGCCTTCTGGAGAAGGAGACCTGGCTCTAGAGGAATTTTGAAGGGTGTGGAGCACAAACTCATATTTCCCCTCCTTCCCCAGAATTTCCCTGGCTATGGCACTGAGCTCCCCTGGTTCCATATGCAGCTCCTTCTCTGGCACTAGGAGGCTCATGCTGGGAACTGAAATTGGGGTGGAAGAGACTGTCACGCTGGTGCTTGTCATGCTGGAGGTGCTCGGGGTTATTATTACTGCTGGTGTTAGTGGAGGTGGGGCAGGTGCAGACACTGCTCCCATCTCCTTGCTGCCACTAGCAGCAGAAGCCTCATGCCTGCTAGGGAAGACTGTGCGTCTAAGTTTGCATGGGGGGGTGGAACTTATAGCTCTCCCTCTGCCCCCTCTCACTTCCCTGCCAGAAGACCTGGCACCTGCCTTTCCAGCATGCTTCATAATGTTTGCTGTGCTGGAAAATGTGTGTGTGTATGTAATATATCTTTTATGTGTTTACTATATCTTCTTCTTCTATCTGCTTATTTGACTATATCTATGTGTTTACTATATTTTCTTCTTCTAGCTGTTTATGTGACAGGGGAAAGCTTTCATGCCCAGTACAAGCACTGGCCTGCCTCCTATCTATGGGCCAGCCACCCACCTCACTCTACTGCCATGCCTTGATGTAATATTAATAGGATGTTACTCAGGTAGGAGGC